TAACATATTAAAATATTGTAATTGCGTTTTTACTCATACTTTTTTACTTTTACTTTTGTAAGTATCATGTTAAGTAAAAACAATTACTAAAAGAATATCTTAATAGTATTAAATACATTACTTGCTCATTACACTTTAACTTAAACTTTAAATTATAACTTAGGCTGTAAATTATAACAATAACTTAAGCTATTTTAAACTTCACCAAACAAAAAACTTGTAAGATAATTTCTAAATATGAGAGATAATATGTTTAAAAAAATTACAATTATTCACAAAATATACAATTTTATACTAATGCTCCCCCTCTTCCCCATTACTGCAAAGCAGCGCAAGGTATGAGGGGGGGGGGGGTTGATGAAGTTTTTTTTTTCATGATTAGATTTTTTTTGCATTAATTCGAACCCTGTTTAGTTTTTAATCAGAATCATAAGAATAAACTTTTTTTTTATGACTATGTTTAAGTGTTCTATGATCATCTTAGTTCCATTTGTATAGCCTTATGTACAAATGTCTGTAAGTGTAAATGTCTTTAGCATATGTTGAGTTTGCAGGCATTATATGAAATGCCTGCAAACTCAACATTATAAAAAAATGGCGTATAATATATCTATAAAAAGAGAAAATTTAATATATTTTTTAAAAGACGCCAAAGCATGAATTAAGTAGCCCAGTTTTTATTATTTATATTAAAACATTGCAATTAGTTACAAATATTTTAGATAATAAAAGCCAAACAAATATTTTAGATAAAAAAAGCCTTTTTAAATTTATTTTATAAAAATTTTAACCTAATAGTTATTTTAATGCTTATAGAAACCGGTACTTTTTAAAAGTGTTTATAAAATAAATCCTAGAAAAAGTTTGTAAAGATTTATAAAAATATACTTATATATTATATAATATGTATTTTTTACATATAATATTGTAAAAAAATAAATATTATTATAAACGTAATTACGTGAAATATACTTTGATAATTTAAATAAAATGTATTTATTGTAATCATAATTAATTAGTTACTTTATTTAATAAAGTAATAAGTAAACTTAATAATTTATGTACTTAATATATTTACATAGTAATTGATGTATTTAATAATTTTGTATTTTTATTAAAGGAGTTCGGGGGGTTGATGGCCTCAAGGGTAATTATGGACATATGATATTTCTATGTTTGTGTAATTTAAGTGAGATTTTTCATCTGTACTGGTACCTATGTTCTACTAGAAAAACTAATAATTGGTCCTAGTTCTTGGTTCTTCCTACATAAGTGACGCTAGTTAGTTGCCATGACGTTAGTTGTCTTTTGTTGTTAACTATCATTTAGGTATTAGAAAAAAAAAGAATTATTGTGCTATTAAGTATATAAATGTTAAAGGCGTTGACTAAATAACACCAATAATAAGAAATATAATTATTCTAGTTTTTAAATATATATAATGTAAGTATCTTCTTATTTACAAATATGTTTTTATTTTTGTTAATAAAATTTGATTCATTTTGGGGTTATGATGGCCATTTTATATGGGGCAATCATGGCCATATAAAATGACTAGAAAATAGAAAAGTCTTCAGATATTTGTTTGATTTTTGGAGAATTTGGTAAAAACTGTGAATGGTGGGTAACATGTGCTGCATGTGGTGACTGGGCCCACAAAGATAGTACAGATCTCCTCCATTAAAACAATATAATTATGTTTATATATATATTTATATTTATGACTATTGTATTTAATAGTAATATTGTATTACTTATTTTTATAAACTCATAAACTTATTCTCTTACACTCTTATAAAACTTATTTTTAATAATTATTATTCTTGTTTTCATTTTTCGTATTTGATAAAAGAATTGGGGTAATGCTGACCAGGTTGCCACAATTGCCCCAAAGTTATGGGGTAATAGTGGCCATTTTGTTTAATTTATTTCATGTAATAACATGTTAATTATTTTTTGTACGTATTTGCCAATAAAGTACTTTATAATATACATTGTAGTAATTCTTCTACCATAGTTACAGCTGGGACCATTATAATACAACCCTAAAAATGGCAAAAAACCTTAAGGGGCCACTATTCCCCCAACCTCCCCTACATATTTTTATTACATATTTAATTATGTATTTAATTACATTGTTTATGTATTTAACATATTTGCGTAATAATTAATGTATTTAATAGTTTATAATTAGTTAATAATAGTTTACAAAGCATTTTTCATAATATATAGTTATTTTTAAAAAATATAATATAAATATATTTTCCTTTTCAAATTTTAGTTTTTTGAACTTAGATTTTTTCTTTTTCTTTAAGATTTTCTTTTTGATAGATAATTTATATTATAATTTTTTTTTTTATTTTCAGCGCATTTTGAAATGCCTAGAATTATTAAAACAAAATGCTTAGTCAATTTGTGATAACAAAGAATTTTAAGAGCGTGTTCAGAAGTGTTTGATCGTACTTCTTCAATATATATATATATATATATATATATATATATATATATATATATATATATATATATATATATATATATATATATATATATATATATATATATATATATATATATATATATATATATTTATATATTTATATATATATATATATATATATATATATATATATATATATATATATATATATATATATATATATATATATATATATATATATATATATATATACATGGCATTAAAATTTTTGGGTATATGAGCACCAAAGTTTTTACTTAACGAAACACATACTGGATGTCCAATTTTGGGCCATTTTCTTGTGTACTGCTGGCTGTATGTCATAAATAACTTGAACAATGCTGCGATATAAGGTATCAATTATTGCTGGTATATCAACATCAAGCAGTGACTTCATGTAACCCACAAGAAATTAACTAGAAGTGTAAAATTACACCAATTTGGAGGGTTAATTGACAGGTCAATATCTTGAAACTAACTTTATGCCAAACTTTGATTTCAATAAGTGGTTACAGTCCATATTCCAATTATTAGAAAATCTTGTCCAGATTAATGTTATTCATATTTTTAAGCAAAAAATGTTGATCATGGCTCGGTAATGATCTCCAATGACCATAATACAAGCTCTGATCTCATTTTTAAAGAAATAAAATTAAATTATACCACCAGCCTGTAAGCTGCACCAAACAGTGCATTTTTAGAATAGGATTATGAATTGGAATCATAACAAAAATAATGAAAGCGGCCCGGACAACATACCTGTTATAGTCTTGCAGAAGTGTTCTCCTGAGCTGTCGTCTATCTTTTCAAAACTATTCAACAGGTGCTTATCAGAGTCTTGTTTTCCAGCCTGCTGGAAAGCAGCATCTGTTATCCCTTTTTTTAAAAATTCTGGAGAGCGATCTGACTCATCTAACTACCGTCCCATTAGTCTTCTTCCTATCATAAGCAAGGTTTTTGAATCTTTAATTAACAAACACTTAATCTCTCATCTCGAATCTCATAACCTACTTTCTGATCATCAGTATGGATTTCGATCTTCTCGTTCTACGGCTGATTTGCTATCAGTAATAACCTATAGGTTTTATCGCGCATTAGTGCAAAAGTGGAGAGGTTAAGGCCATTGCTCTTGACATTTCTAAAACGTTTGATAAAGTTTGGCATGCTGGTCTCCTCCATAAGCTTTCTTCTTATGGTGTATCTGGAAACATCTTTAAGATTATTGAATCCTTTCTTTCCAATCGTAGTATAAAAGTTGTCCTTGATGGACAGCACTCTTCTTCTTATTCTGTAACCTCAGGGGTTCCCCAAGGTTCAATCCTTGGCCCTATACTCTTTTTAATTTACATTAACAATCTTCCAGATATTCTCACATCTAAGGTGGCATTGTTCGCTGATGATACTATCATTTATTTTTGTCATGATAAGAAGCCAACTCCCTCTAATTGCTTGCAGGGGGCATCTGAGCTCGAAAAGGATCTCACTTCTGCTACAGCATGGGGCTCACAGTGGCTGGTGAACTTTAATTCAGATATAACTCAATTTTTTTCGGCCAATCGTTATCGCAATAATTTAGACCTTCCTATATTTATGAGCGGTAATGTACTCAATGAGTCTCCTACCGTTCATCTTCTAGGATAAACTCTTACTTCTGATTTTTCTTGGAAACCTTATATAAAATCCGTTGCAAAATTAGCATCTGCTAAAATTGCTTCTCTTTATCGAGCTCGTCACTTTCTTACTCTGGATTCTATTCTCTATCTCTATAAATCTCAAATCCGGCCTTGTATGGAATACTGTTGCCATATCTGGGGCGGATCTTCTAATGATGCCCTTTCTCTTTTAGACAAGGTGCAAAAACGTATTGTATACATAGTTGGACCTGCTCTTGCAGCCAACCTTCAACCTCTGTCAAATCGTTGTAATGTTGCTTCTCTTTCTCTTTTCTACAAATACTATAATGGGCACTGCTCTAAAGAGCTAACGTCTCTTGTGCCATCTAATAAAATTCATTCTCGTGTTACTCGTCATTCAATTAAGTCTCATCCTTTTTCTGTTACTGTTCCTAAGTGCTCCAAAAACTCTTATTCGTCTAGTTTTTTTCCTCGAACATCAGTTCTTTGGAATTCGCTTCCTTTATCTTGCTTTCCTGATTCATATAATTTGCAATATTTTAAGTGGTCTGTCAATTGTTATCTTGCTCTACAATCTTCATCTTTTCTCTTCCAGTAACTTCCAACACTAATTAGTGGTTGCTTGCAACCTTGTTGGAAGCGAAGATAAAAAAAAAAAATTGACATTTAGTATTTTCCTACTTCACTTCTTGTTTCTACAAGTTTTAGTTTAACAAGTTTTAGTTTAAGTTTTAAAATGTGAAACAGCAGTGAAACAAAAAAGTAGTGAAAAAATTGATGTAAAGCAGATGAAAACAAAATAAAAATAAGAAATAAATAAAATGATAAATATATACAAAAACACACACTACCTACTACCACGCATGTTATTTAAAAATTAATTTTTTTAGAGTTGTATACTTGTATCTTCGCAAAGAAGATCGACGTGAAGTTATTATAAAACAAATTGCTGCTGATGATTTGACTACAGAACAGCGCAAGGGTGTCATTAATGAAATTGATGTATCTGCTATGTTTAATCACCCTAATATCATTAAGTATCATGAATATTTTATGGAGGAGAAAAATTTTATGATTGTCATGGATTATGCACCTGGTAAACTTCTTACATGTCAATGTTTGTTATTTATTTTATTAATTTTGCTTTTGAGTTATCAAAAAGTCTGAAACTGCAATATTGTGCAGGTTTAAAAAACATACTTTATTTATAAAAATAAACTTCAACTACACATAAAAAGTTTTCAGCTTTTTTAACTTATGAAACTTTGCATGTTGCTTTTTTCTCTTGCAAGGTGAATGTAGTTTTTTTTTTTTTTAAAGATTTTCAACAAGTAAATATAAAATTATTTTTTAATACATAATTTAGATTTTTACTTCAAATATATTTTTACTTAATTTTTTAATGAGTTTTAAATTTTATTTTATTATATAGGTTTTTACCACATGTGGTTGCCCTATATGCACTATAAGTAACTGAAATTTGCCTGAAGAGTTACAATTGATGAGTTTGTTTTTAAAATGCAGTATGAGCAATTTTGTTTTTATCTGCTAACATAAATAAAAAACTTTATGTTACTTATAAATAACAAGCTAATGATAACTATAATTAATTAATAAGCTAATAATAACTAACAATCCCAAATAATTGTTAAACTAATAATAACTAACAATACCAAATAATAAAATAAACAAACTTAAAAAAACATAAAAAAAATATTGCTCATACCGCGTTTTGAAAATAAACTCATTAGTTGTAAGTTTTTATAAAAAAGGTGGTAAAAACTGTTGCAAAGTATCAAATAATATTCATAAAGATCCATCAAAAATCAAAAAACATATACAGCATGCTTGTTATGCTCAAATTAAGGTGGTCAGAATTCTTTATTTACCAAAACATTTATTAAATTGGTATGAAATAACTTATTTAAGTTTTTAAATCTAAAACTCACATATACTTGTAGTTAGTAAGTGACTGATGCCCTGGCCCCGGCTTAAAATGAGACTTTTTGCAAACCCGGCTCTGGCCCTGAAAATTATAAGCTTTAGCAGGGGTTGATAGCCGGGGCTAAAAAAAAATGTATAATACTTACTATATTATAATTTTATGCTTACGTTTACTATTTATTAAATACTGGCATACAATAATATATTTTTAAGCTCTAATTTAATTCCAACAAGATTGCAAGCAACCACTATTATGTTATGATTTACTTCAAAATACTAGAAAACGCATAACTAAAGACTTTAAAAGTTGTAAGTTGTATAAAAAAGGAAAACATGAAGATGGTTTATAGTTATAAGGTTTTTTTGATGTTCAAGGAAAAAAACCCACAACTTTTGCCTTTCTCAATCCCTAACTCAAATAGTCAACTTTCCAACTCGCTTTCCATACAACCCAAATCATTTACTTTTTCTACTCGACTTATGTCTTGTTTCTGATCCTAGTCAATGGTCAGTTACTCCACATTCACCCTTAGGTTATTTTGATCACAGTTTTATCTCTCTAAAACTATTATCTCATTCTTCTTCATCATCTGAATCCCCCTATCATCATACCTCTTACTACTCTTTTAAAGCTGACTGAGACTCTCTCTGTGATTTTCTTTGTGATGGCCCTTGGGTAGAAATTTTTTTGTCTTTCTGCTGACAAATGTGCTTCTTACATAACTTTGTGGATTCAGGCTGGCATGGAATCTTTTATTCCCTCTCGGCGATTCCAAGTCATGCTTTACTCTTCTCCATGGTTTTCCTCACATTTTCCAATTGAAACCATTATTTCCATATCTATCAGCAAAACAATTCTCCAGAAAACACATGTCTGTTCATTACTGCTAGAAACCATTGTAAAATGGTTTTGTCTAACGCCAAAGCCAGCTATTCTCAGATCATGAAATATTGTATTTTATCTCAAAAATTAGGCTCTTTTGACTTCTGGAGAATCTTTAACAGTATTTATAATAAGGGCATATCTGTAATTCCATCTCTCTTGTATGGTTAAGATTTGTCACATCACCTAAAGACAAAGCTGAATTGTTTGCTAAGAACTTTTCATCAATATCATCTCTTGATTTCACTAGTTGCATTTTACCTGATATTGAGGACTAACATGTTGATCCATTGCTTGACATTCGTATTACTCTAGCTTCTGTATCTAAAAAGATTTCCTGCTTAGACTCTTTTACAGCTTGTGGTCCAGACAACATACCTGTTGTAGTCTTGCAGAAGTGTTCTCCAGAGCTGTCGTCTATACTTTCAAAACTATTCAACAAGTGCTTATCAGAGTCTAGCCTGCTGGAAAGCTACATCTGTTATCCCTATTTTTAAAAATTCTGGAGAGCGATCTGATTCGTCTAACTACTGTCCCAATAGTCTTCTTCCTATCATAAGCAAGGTCTTTGAATCTTTAATTAGCAAACACTTAATCTCTCATCTTGAATCTAATAACTTACTTTCTGATCATCAATATGGATTTCGATTTTATTATTCTACAGATTTGCTAACAGTAATTTGCTAACAGTAAATAACAGTAAAAAAAAAAAACAGTAAAAACCGATAAGGTTTTATTGTATTTATTAGATAAAGGTGAAGAGCTTAAGGCCATTGCTCTTGACATTTCTAAAGCTTTTGATAAAGTTTGGCATGCTGGTCTTCTCCATAAGCTTTCTTCTTATGGTGTATCTGGTAAAATCTTTAAGATTATTGAGTCCTTCTTTTCCAATTGTAGTATTGAAGAGTGCTGTCCTTGATGGACAGCACTCTTCTGTGCTGTCCTTGATGGACAGCACTCTTCTTTTAATTCTGTAACTTCAAGGGTTTCTCAAGGTTCAATCCTTGGCCCTATACTATTTTAATTTACATTAACAATCTTCCAGACATTCTCAAATCGCAATTGGTGGTATTGTTTGCTGATGATATATTTATTTTTGTCATGATAAGAAGCCAATACTCTCTGATTGCTTGGAGGGGACATTTGAGCTTGAAAAGGGTCTCACTCCTGCTACAGAAAAGGGCTTAAAGTGGCTGGTGAACTTTAATTCAGATAAAACTCAATTTTTTTTCAGCCTATTGTTATCGCAATAATTGAGACCTTCCTATATTTATGAATGGTAATGTACTCGATGAGTCATCTACCCTTCATATTCTAAAATTAACTCTTACTTCTGATCTTTCTAAGAAACCATATATCAAATCCATTTCAAAATTAGCTTCTGTTAAGGTTGCATCTCTTTATCAAGCTCGACACTTTCTTACTATAAATGTATGAAATACTGTTGCCATATCTGGGGCGGATCTTCTAATGATGCCCTTTCTTTTTTAGACAAGGTGCAAAAACGCATTGTAAACATAGTTGGACCTGCTCTTGCAGCCAACCTCCAACCATTATCACATTGTCGTAATGTTGCTTCTTTTTCTCTTTTCTACAAATACTATGATGGACATTGCTCTAAAGAGCTAGCGCCTCTTGTGCTATCTACTAAAATTCATTCTCGTGTTACTCTTGATTCAATTGTCTCATCTTTTTTCTGTGACTGTTCCTAAGTGCTCTAAAAACTTTTATTCCTCTAGTTTTTTTTCTCGAACATCAGTTCTTTGGAATTTGCTTCCTTCATTTTTCCTGATTCATATACTTTGCAATCTTTTAAGTTGTCTGTCAATCTTTATCTTGCTCTACAATCTTCATCCTTTTTCTTCCAGTAACTTCCAACTCTAATTATGGGTTGCTTGCGGCCTTGTTGGGAGCAAAGATGCTTAAAAAAAAAAAAAAAATGGAATAATAAAGGTTTTTTTTAGCATGATGGGACAGATACAGTAAAAAGATGCAACTTGTTGAATAAAAAACCAAGCAAGAATGAGTTTTGGTTTATCGTTATAGAGATATTAGCTCGTTTGAGCATTGACAATGATTGTATTTTTAGAAAAAAGAAAGAAATCCAGCCTTACAACAGCGGAAAAGTGGCTCAAGCTTGGCAGATAAAGCAGTTCTAATTATATTTGCAATGTGCTTTTAGTCTTTGTCTGAGAGTTAGAGGGTTGCTATTCATCAATTTAGGAATGCCAACAATATTACAATTTTTTTTGCAGTAAATAAATTTTGTTTTTGTTGTCTAACAAAAATTGTGGGTTTTAAGTCCAGAATTTAAATATATAAACCACTATCAGCCTTAGGCTGTTACAGAGGAGAGATCAGGTTTAAAATCAGCTGCTTGTTCTAAGCAACCAAAAAGTGAAGATTTTTTTGTCAGGACAAGAGTATTAAGTTGAGTAGTCAGCAAATAGAGCCACTTTAGATTTCATGAAGATGTTTATGGATGACAAGAAACAATATATGAGCAAAGGTAAAACCTTGTGGTACCCTTAAAGTTACTTGAAATATAGAAGAGAGTAGGTCTTCAAGAGTAACTTTACTACTGCAGTTAGAAATAAATAATTTAATAACCTTTTTATAAAGAAACTAATAACAGAATGAAGACTAATCGTAGGATAAATAGAGCAGTCAAAGTGTTTCCTAGAGTTTTGAAAAATTGGAACCACTTATTTAGCACTTTTTAAAATTTAACAAAAATTTAAGAGAATCCTGGAGAATACTTTTAAGACTATGATGGAAATCTATTCTGGAGCACAAATTGTAGAAGTGTTTTATTGAGAATTAACTTCAGCATTGGAAGCCAGATTGATTTCCATGTTTAATAATGGGTTAATCTGTTTAACTATCAAGAAGAGTTTTGCCATTATATTCAAGAGTCAAATTAGAGTAAGATTTCTTTGCAAATAACTCTGCTTTATTCTGGGGAGAAGTAAAAAGATCAGACACATGAATTAGAGATTGAATGTTAGACTTTAGTTAATGATGCTGTTGAAGACTAACCAAAAGTCACTAGAACCTGATGATGTTTATATATGCATATATATACAAAATATAACATGAATTTTGAATAAAAAAATTATACTTTAGGATGTATAAATGTTTATGCAACCCCTGTCACAAACCCGGCCCCGGCTATATTTTATCAAACCTGGCCCCAGCCCCGGTCACTTACTAATTGTAGTCATTAGTAAGGTTCAACAATATTATAATACATATTTATAAAGCTATAA